GTGACAGAGGGAAGAGACTGTAATAAAGACTTCACTGGCTCCTAGAATGTTCACCTGGAGAGGGCACATCTCATTCTATTTATACTTCACTTGGCAAACCATGCACAAGGCCATACGTCACGAGAAGGGGACCGAAGAATAGGTAATCCACACAGTTCTGTCCCAAGAAGGCAGAGGTATTTGTATTTAGGCAGACATAACTAAATCAAAACAGAACCACTGGTTTAGTTTATCCAGCCTGGCCACACATGACCACATATTTTCTTTTTTCTTTTTTTTAAAGTGGAAGTAGATGTGTATGAATGAGACTTCTACTACAAAAGTCTTCTTAGAAAGGCCTAGCCTTTTGGAAATATATAAGAAAGATCAGCTAAAAAGAAACAAGACCTAGAAAATATTTAATATATGAAAAAAAAATTCAACAAGGGTCTGTATCAATAAGCAGCATGAGCTTTGCCAGGAGTTTTCAGTGTCATTGCTGTTTGATTTACCGGGTTAAGTCATTGAACAAGAGGTACATAACTAACACTAGTCAACACATGTTATGGTTTGAATATGAACTATTACCACCACCACCCCTTCCCAGCTAATGTGTTGGAGGCTTGCTTGCTAGTTGATGGGCTTTGGGGAAGTCAATTGATGAATCCTTTTACAGGTTCATAATATTATGACATTATTGAAAGCTACAGCCTCACTGGAGAAAGTGAATCTTCCCAGGGACAGAAAGATAAACTTTGACATCTCCTCTCCTCTTCCTGGAGGTGATCAGCCTCTGTTATAGATTCCTACTGCCAGGATATTCTGTCTAGCTTCAGGCCCTAAACAATGTATCTAGCTGACCTTGGACTGAAACTTCTGACACTATGAAACCAAATAACTCTTTCCCTGAAGTTGTTTGTCCAGGTATATGGATACAATGAGGAAAACCTAACATGATACTTTAAAGTATGTAGAAGAAAGGGTGGGCACTGCCAAACTCATTTTATACTATCCAGCTCGTCCTTTCGTCCTCAAGCTTGACTGCAAGAGAAACCTCGGATACCCAGTCACATGAGTTATTGATCACCATCATCTCAGGGTCCCATGACTGAAACCCAGATCAGAAAGGCACCAAGTACACAGGCATCTACTTCTCACAACCTTAAATGTTCAGTTTAGGTATATGTGACTCTGTTCTCTGCTCCAGTCTGTCTCAAAACATAACTATTAATACTTCAAAATGAATTGATTTGTTTTCTTCTAGAAATGCTGTGCGTTTCAGCCATATTCAAAGTCTTTTCTGCGCTTCATGGAAAAGGCAAAACTTTCCGGGGAGAACTGACTTTTCATTGTTACCTCCCTATTACACACTGTTGAGGTTTTCCACCTGCCTCACCAGCTATTCTTTTTCTGGATCTTCCCCCACTATCCTCTGAATGCTGGATTCCTTGAAACTGTGTCCTCTTCCTTTGCCTACCTGTATTTTCCCCCAGGTCCTCGTATACATTTGTGAAAGTCTTGACTAATGACTTTCAAATAGTGATCTGTAGCTCAGACCCCTCCAGTGAGCTTCAATCTATTCTCAACAATCAAATGGCTTTTCCATTTGGACACCTCCCTTAGTCCATTTTGTGTTGACATAACAAAATGCCTAAAACTTTTTTTCCATAAAGCAAGGAATTTTAGTTACTTTCAGAGGCTGAAAGTCCAAGGTCAGGTGGCCCTAGGTATTCAGAGCCTGGCAAGAGCCAGCCAGCAGATAGTAGGAGAGTATGTTAGAAGGAAATGGTATGTGCATCAAAGAGCAACATGTACAGTGGTCTTGCTTTAATATGGCCTGCTCCTTTGGGATCAATCCCAGTTCAAAGAGACACTTAGGAATCCCTTTTAAGGACAGCATCCCTATGATCTAGTTATCTCCTGCCAGGACCCACCAATTAAAGCTTTCCAATAGTCACTTCCCAATAGGTTTTCATTAGGGATCAAGAGCAAACATAAATGTAAACCTTTGGAGCAAAAAAACTAGATTCAAATCAGAGCACATAGACCTTGTAGCAGGCAGTCTCCAATGACCTCCTACCTCCTGGCCTTTACCCCCTTGTATACTTTTCTTCTACACTGAACAAGATTTGGGCTGTGTGACCAGTAGCATATGGGAAGAAGTGACAGGATGCCACTTCTGAGATCAGATTCCATCTGAGCTTTTCTTTCTCTCTTGGATCATTCACTCTGGGTAAAGCCACAGCATGTGCAACCATGCAGGAGGTCCACGTGGTGAGGAACAACAATATTCAGCCAACAACCAGCTGGAGTCTGTCAACAGCCATGTGAAGGAACTAAGCAACAGATTTCCCAAGCCTTGCCAAGAACTATCACTTTGGCCAATAGCTAATTTGATCTTTTTGGTTTGGCAGTACATAAGTCTGGAACTCAGGGCTTCATGGTTGCTAGGCTGGTGCTCTACCATTTGCATCATGCCTCCAGTTCTTCAGTACTTAATTTGCAATCTCATGAGAAACTCTAAGTCAGAATCATACCAGCCACTGACACCCAAAATGTAGGCACACAGAAGCTACGATATAATAAATGCTTGTGTCTTAGTCTGCTAGATTTTAGGGTATCTTAAATATAGCAACAGTAAGTAATCCAGTAAGCACAGATTTAGCATGAGTCAAATAGAACTTCCTATCTCTCTTATCCTGATACCCAAGCCTCCTCCTTCTTCAAAACTGGCATTGATAACGACCCACTTTTCAAGTTAGAAAACTGCAAAGCAGCTTTCACTACTACATTCACTCCATCAGCAAGTTATGTGGAATTGAAATCCAAAACACTCAATAAATCAGTTCATTCAATACATGTAACACTAAGAGCCTACTCTGCTGGATAAACAGTAAGAGAGACAGGCAAAAATCCCAGTTCTTAAGTACTAGATATTCTCATGGGATGGAGTAAGTAACAATTTAAAACTAAAAACATACTATGCCACATGGGAATAAGCAATATGGAGGGAAAATAAATTGAGCAGGAAGGGAGTGACTGGCAGGATATATGAAGGGCGTTGCGTGCCATATTACACAAGGCACTGAGAAGATGCTGCTGATACAGTGATTTGAAATCTGTATTTTCCCTCTCCACTGCCACTTACCTTCACCTGAACCTTCCTCAGCTTTTATTTGGGCTTTCACCTTACCATCTTCATGTCTAAAACCCTTGAGAGGTTGGTCCTCCTTACCACACTGCAGGAAGCCTCGTATGACCTTGTGACACCAGGGCTCCAACTTCCTCTCCAACCAATCACCCTAAGTCCAACCATTCCAGCCTTCTGGAAATTTCTAGAATGTACCAATTTTTTTTTTCACGACTCCTCTGCCCCTTTCAAACAGTTTCCTTGACTGAAATCACATTGGTTTCACATTAAGTCATAGTGGCATGACTTAGTGAACCAACATGAAGTCCTTATACCCTTCCGAATCAGAACTCAAACTAGTCAAGCCCCAACATCACCATAGCCAAAGTGCTTCCTTTCATTTCTCTTGATCGCAAACTCCTGTTTGTAATTTGTGCTGTCTCTTAGTCTATTGGTTCCTTTACCACCAACCAGAATATAGACTCCAACAAACTAGTATCTTTATGGGTCTTGTTCTCTATTATAGCCCCCATGAGTAACTAGACATAAAGCCTATAAGTATTGATTGAATAAACCAGCTCTTTCTGACCACATTAGAATTTCAACACCATTGCCAGAAATATCAGCTAGTGGTAATGATCAGGATTTTGTTGTCATAAATCCATAGATCACCAGATTGATTAGAGACCTAGACACCAATTAGCATCACAAGCCTAAACAATGTAAGTACTTCATACAAAGTCACAGAGCTGGAATTGGAACTAGTATCGGGCTCTATTCATTACAAGTCCAAGGTTCTATAGGCAGCAATCACTTTTACTTCCTCAAAAGAGGAACCTTTAATACCTACTGGACTTGGGAGGATGATGTATGATGTCCAATCTAGGGGATATGAATCTAGACTTTGGAGTCACAAAAGTATAGACTTTTTCCTCCTCTGAACTTTCCAGCAGTGTGGTTTAATCCTTCTCGGCTCTACCTTTCTCATGGATACCATAATACCACCACCCAGGACCAAAGAGCAAAGTAAACTAGAGTGAACAAAGTAAACTAGAGTCGGACATCATCCCTAGCCATCAGCTCATTTACTGTCAAAAATACAGGCCTTTTTAAAAAAAAAAAAATCAGTTTAAAACCAATGGAAGGAAATAACAATATTGATTCCAAAAGCCTACATTACCTATGCTTTGATAACTTTGATAGCACTCAAGCATGACCTAACTTCCACAAGTGAAAACACAATTTCACCAAGTGGGACTTTTGTCAGTTTGGTGCTCAATTTGATGTCAGAAATTAAACTGCTATCTGACCTACAGACAGGAAGTTGGTCTGTTTTCTTTGCAGAGTGAAGCGAGATTCCTCTTTGCAGGTGGTTGGTTATTTCTAGGGTTCTGTCACACAGCTCTTCTGTCTACCTAAAATGTAACAGGTCAAGTGGATGTCCTAAGTTCTGGGATTCTTTTCTTCCGGATGTGCATTCTGTCTGACCGTAACTATGAGGGCGACGATCCTTTCCGAGGAGGAATGACTCAACCCTTAGAAATGGATGGACTAGTGTAGCCAGCCACACGACAGGTAAGCGTTCCTCTGTGCCTGTCTCCTGCTTGTGCCCGAGGTGTCTTGGCAAATGTCACCAGCAGTGCAGGGCTGTGGCTACCTGTGGCTGAGGGTAGCTATCATGTCAAAGCTTGTTAAAGAAGCCCTGGCAGGGAACCCCCCCCCTCCCCAGCTGCCCTAAGACGCCCCAGACCACAGGCCGGCCTCCCAGGTCCGAGTAAGGCGGCCTGCGGCGGGGCCGCCCTTCTCCACGCGGGCCTCGGGGCAGCTGCGTGCAGACAGCGCCCCGCCAGCTCCGATGTAACCCCCGGGCGGGGAACCCCACTTTTCCTACCCGTCCCTCAGCTCCTGCGCCTGCTCCGGCTCTCGGGGACCTCGCTTCCACTGGCAGCTCGGCCTTCGGTGGAAGTTGGCACTGACAACTTCCCCGCCTTTTCCGCCTCCCCACTCCTCCCGCCACACTTTGCCCCTTCCCAGGCATTTCCCCGCCCCAGGGCCTAGGCCACGCCCAGCTGACACAAGCCATGCCCCTTACAGAGGCTCAAAGCAGAGTCCTACGGGGCCCAGACCACGACCCCCCCCCCCCATGGGATCAGAGCCACGCCCTCTCAAGGTCAAAGCCTTGCCCAACCGGCTCAGGCCTCGCCCCTGTCAGGCTCCAGGCCACGCCCAACCGGCCCAGGCCAGGCTTCTCTCAGGTTTAAAGCCACGCCCAATAGGCATCTGGCCAGGCCCCGCCTATGGCCTGGGCCTAGGCTGGTTTCCAGGCCGCTGCTCTAGTGTTAGAGGCTGCAGGATTTGTTCAGTGGCTGGGCTGGGTGCTCAGTCCTTCTGACTTTATTGCTGATACTCCCACCTGGGAGGAGGGCGTTCACGTTTTTTTCCCTCTGGTTCGGCTGCTAGGAAAGAATTAAAAGCTCTGTCCTCCATGGGGGAAGAAACATCTCTGTATCCAAGTCCCATGGGTTCCACAGAATAGCTAGGAACACCGGTGCCTTTGATAGCTCTGTTAATAGATATTTAATACTCCTGGGACAGGTGTATAGCAAAGCACATTGAAAAGTGGTGGCACGCAGGGATCTGAGTCCCGCTCTGAAAGCATAGATCTTTGGATTTATATTACTGCCTCTTTGTTTGTGTTTGTGTTTCTGAGTAGATCCGAGTAGTAATCAATGTGTGTTGAAGCCAGCTCTGTTATGCTTCCTACCAAGGGTAGGCTAGCTGGTTTAATTTTTAGCACCATCTACATGTAGTATTTGCCCTCAATCACAGACAAGAAAACAGACTTAAAGAAGTGACTTGTATGCTACATTTGTTCACCAAATGTAGCAGTGGTACTCACTAGACACTATGTGGAAAATGAACTGTATGACTTGTAGGTGAAGACAAAAGGGAAAAACGGAGAGAAAGAGAGAAGGAGTGACATTTGTCCCTCCAAAAAGTATACTCTTTACCTGACTTATGTAATTGTAACCCCTCTGCATATCACCTTTATAATAACAATTAAAAATAGGGAGGGGAGAAGAACATATAGGAAAAGAAAGGTGAGAAGAATGTATTGGATTTTTTTGTCTTTTTTAAGTTATCGTTTAAGAAGTATGAAATATGGGAAGGTACTGAGGAATGGATTTGGTTAATAAGAATAGACAGAGTGATGACATTATAAAGAACAATGAATCTCCAGGAGTAGAGCTGGGAAAATTCTAGACACCAGCACTAAAAGTAAGGCCCAAGAAGAGGAGAGATGAGAATAAAGGTAGAGGTTAAGAACCACAGAGGTGTGGGTACTGGGGGAATGGAATATTACTAGCATGAGTGGGGTTCACACTGAGACTGTATAATGAAGAGACGGATGGAGGGAGGCTTCTAAGTGATTTCAGTGCTGGCTACCACTTTGATTGCAGGTGCTGGGCAACCAGGAGGCCGTATAAATGTGTATCTGACAATGGTTGTTAAAAGAGAAGCCTAAAAGTGCATTATTTATAATGCTATGTATTTTCACAGTCCACGCTGCCAGATGTGAAATTATACACCAGGTTCGCATTCAGAAATGACTTCAGGTTTTTTTTTTTTTTCTGTATGGAAGTTACTAAATTCTCTGCTGCCAACATTAAACCCATCAAACGAGATCTGTGATAGATTTCATGGGCAGGGTCTTATTTCTCGATAACTTTTACTTCTTCTAAAACATAGTGTTAAGGAGAAACTACTCTAGGTTTTATTTCTCCTTCAAGGAAGCAATTACAAAGAAATTTTATGTTAATATGCAAAAGATTTATTGACATTAGAAACTCCAGCAAAGTTTTGTGAATAGGTGTTCATCCACACAGCAGTGGAAAACTTGTTAGCATCTAGGTACCATCTTTATATATACTGTTACCACGCTGTACATGCTAAATTATTTAAGTGCTACTTTTTCTTAAGCACTTCATGCTATTGTATTCTTTGAAAATACATGTTCATTTTTACTGGCCTCAAAATCTATTAGCCCTAGAGCTAGGCAAACAAGGGTGAAAATCATCTTAGATGAACCTCTGCTATCAAAAAATGACAATCTGGCATCAAGCTTGTGGTCCAGTTCACTTCCCCATCTCTTCCTAGAGGAAGATAATGTGGAAATGGTTTGTGAAATCTAAAATATCCATGCTCCATCAGATGTCTCTGATGAAATATCCAAGTCAAAATCACATTATTAAGGAACCAAAAGCCTCCAAATTAGTCTCTCAGTTAAGGGTTTAATTCAAACATACTCCAGCGCTTGCTTTCATTTTCATAGTGGCTTTGAATTTTGACACTGCCTGTACTCAGAAATATTCAATTGGCAGAGAGAATGAAATCAAAACCACACATTCAAAGCCCTTTGCTAGTTAGACTTAAACCTGTAGAAAGCGTCCAGATTTTCATCACCTAGTCTGATGTTTTAAACATCCAGACAAAAATAGTCGACAGAAATAATCTAGAAAAGATAAACATGTAAAGTAATCCAGATAATTGTGAGGCAGGGAACAGAATAAAAAAAATGGAGCAAATGGTTTCCATTTTTTAAATGGTGCGTCCATCAGGTTTTAACTGTCAATTAACGTTGATGGCACTGCAGAGATGTTCCTAGATTAAATTTTGAGTGTGGTGTGATAAGCTATTCCTATCATGTCTAGCAAATCTATGAGGTAGCACTGTGATAAAAAGCCCTGAGCAGATTTCAGCACATACTTTGTCTATCAAATTCCCATTCTGGCCTCAATGCCTCTGGGATCACTTGTTACATGACAGAAGAGATACACATTCTTCTCAGACACTCTTGTCTGCTGCCAGCAGCCATCTGTCTGTAGTGGTAGTTTTGTGTGGCCCATAAATAAAGTTAAAAATATTCGAATCACAGAGAAAAGTTTCCCCACCCTTGCTTTACACTTGGAGAAAACACTAATTCATCCACATATTTTATTGCTTCATTTAATAATGAAATGTTAGGAATGAAGTTTAATAATGGCAGCCTTGCTACCATACACAAAGATTGGATCTCCAGCACTGCAAAGGATAATGATAATAATAATGAAGCAAAAGAAAACTAAAACTAAAACTATTTTGGAGTGTGTGGGGGTGGGGGTGGCGTTCCTTGAAATTAGGGCCTGGGTGCTGTCCCTGAGCTTTTGTGCTCAATGCTAACACTCTACCACTTGAGTCACAACTCTACTTCTGGTTTTTTGGTGGTTAATTGGAGATAGGAGTCTCACAGACTTTCCTGTCCATGCAGGCTTTGAACTGTGATCTTTAGATCTCAGCCTCCTGAATAGCTTGGATTATAGGCATTAGCCACAGGCACCCAGTTAGTTTTTTAAAGAGCTATACTCAAATACATCATGTTGCAATTGCATGAAAGTTTTATTGGGGCTGTGTCTTTACATATAGCTTATCACCTTTCATAGGCACTGATTACAAGTTTGCTTTAAAAAATATTTTGGTTTTATCTTTACTGTAAAAAACAGTATGGTAGTATCTCAGAAAATAAGAAATGGAAACAGAATTATCACATGATTTATCCACTTCCTGTCTTGATATATGCTCAAGAAGTAAAAGCACAGCTTTAAGAAATATTTGTACATCCATGTTCACAGCCACATTTTTCATTCACACTAGCCAAAAGGTGGGACTAACTCAAATGTCCATTGACATACAAAAAGATAAATGTTGAGTTGTATACACAGGCAGTGGAATATTAGTTAACTTGAAATCTGGGTAAGCCCTTAAAAACATTATGCTAAGTGAAATAAGCCAGACCCACAACAATAAATATTCTATTGTTTTTCTTACATGAAATAGCTAGAATAGTCATATTCATAGAGAAGGAATGAAGATGGTAGCTGCAAGAGGAGAGATGAATGGAGAGGAAAATGAGGAGTTATTTAATAGAACAGTTTTAGTCTGGGATCATGATAATGTTGTAGAGATGGAAAATGATGACAATTGCCTAACAATGTAAATGTACTTAATGCTAAAATGATTAAGATGGTGAATATTATATAGACATAAATAAACATAAATATTAAATATCTATATGAATATATATAAATGTACATGTATATAATATACCTGTGTGTTTATATCTACATATATATAGAGAGAGACAGAGACAGAGACAGACAGATAGACAGACAGACAGACAGACAGACAGACAGACAGACAGATAGATAGATAGATAGATAGATAGATAGATAGATAGATAGATAGATACATGCATACATACATAAATGCATACATATATACACACATGCACACATCCTGATTGTTTAGCATGCTTGCTTGACTGGCTTGGCTGGCACTCTTCAACTTGAGTCATGCTTCCAGCCCTGCTTTTTGCTGGTTAGTTTGGAGACAGAGTCTACCAAAGTTTTCTGCCTGGGCTGACCTTGAATTGACATCCTCCAGATCTCAGCCTCCTGAAGAGCTAGCACTGGTTTATTATATTGAAATAAAAACATTTGTTTTTTAGACAGCTCCTTGGAGATATCTTATAAAAACTTGAATGGGAGCACCTGTTACCCTCACTAATATTTGCAAGTGTTAAATAAAGCTCCACAATTTTGAATTATGTCACCACTGACTTTTAAAACTGTGAATTGAATAGCATTGATATTTTTTTTCTAGCCTAGCAATCCTTCCTGGTATTATTTGTGAGAGCCACTTGGGCTGGGTGACTAAGTGCTGCCTAACTCTGCTTCTTCTTCCTCTATACTACATTCCCAGCATGCCTTGCAGCTAACATGTGCTCTTGTCACTGAGTCCCAGCCTGTGTGGTAGCAGTAACATGTGTCTTCTAGGCCAGGCTCATGTACAAACCAATGACACTCACCATCTTCTCTTTGCCCATCAGTGAGGTGGTGGGAAAGATTTCCTAGGACCTGAGAAGTGGCTCTGAAGAGTCAGTTGCCTGTATCTGAATAGCTCT